GGCTGAGGGACCCAGAGACAGCAGGGACCAGGCCAGCACCACACACCGGGGACGAGCCAGGAGGAACCCTGTGGTGTCACTGCCTGTGAGGGACACGGCCACCTTGGGGAGACAACAGGGTGCGAGCCCCAGACTCCACTCCTCCCTGGGTTCCTGCTGGGGCCCCACTGGCGCTCGGTCTCCCAGGGCCTGAGCAGGTGGACTTGGGGACAGCAGGTGGACGCCCAGCAAAATGAGTGCAAACCCCGACTGCCTGAGCGGGTGTCAGGCTGTGAGCCTCGGGGGAGGCTCCCTGGGCCAACCCACAGCTCCCCAGCCCCCCACGCCCACCAGGTGCCCCAGCCCACTGCCCGCAGCAGAGGCCACGCCAGCGGCCCCCGCCCGGCAGTCCTGCAGGGAAACCACGTGGCTTGCAGGCCATGGTCACAACCTGGGCACCATCCTCAGGGAGGGCCCTGTCCATGGGCCACCCAACCCAGCAGGGGACCAAGGCATGCCACACTGCCAAGTCCCATCTTCCTTCCTTGTCACCCAGAGTACCTCCCAGCCAGCAGCAAGGGCCCTAGGAAGGGAGACCTCGACAGTAGCCTCAACCATTGAGAAACAGCTCTCCTCAGAGCTTGCCAGGGCTCCTGCATCACTGCCAAGGGACTGTCACCAGGACCATCCATGCACTGACACTGACAGGGATCCAGGCCTGCTGGGTGCTGGTCTCTGCACTCTCTATGGACGACCCCAATTACTCCCACAGCCACCCCAGAGCTCAGGACAACTGACCCACAGCATCCATGTGGGGCAGGAGTGATGGACACTGAATCAGAGAGGGTTAGCGCCTTCCCAACATCACACAGCTGATCAGTAAGGAGTGGGATTTGAATCTAGGTCTAGCTGGCTCCTCAGGCCATGTCTGTCCTCTGCATCAGCACATACTGGACCTGGACAGGAATTTGGGCACATTTCCCAAGCTGTCCCACCCCCTACCCCCGTCTTCTCCTCTCCAACACCACCCTCCCATCAGGCCCGGCACAAGGCTCAGCCCAAGGGTCCCTGCCTCTGCCCCGCAGCTCCGTCTGGCCCAGTGACGCAACGCCCTGGCCCGCCTTGCAGTTCAACTGTGCTGAAGGTACCGTGGGCGGGCCATCTGCTTCCTCCAGCACCACCACCGGCCTTTGCCAGGTCACGGGGCAAATGTGCAGGGACCCCAGAGCAACAGTCACTTTATTTCTGGGCTTGGGACCTCTAACTGGCCCGGATTGCTCAACGTCTCGCGGGAGAGGGTCAGAGAGACCTCCGCAGGTGCCTGGGAGGAGCGGGCACATCCTGGCTGCAGCACCACTGTGATTTTTCTCCCAGAAGCTGGTCAAGGAAAGAGCCCGGGCCCTGCCTCGGGTGCTGCTCTGGGTTCAGTGCCCAGGCTTCCTTCCAGCCCCCTGGCCTTTGTTCAGAAAGGGTGAGGCGGGTGGCGGGGCTGCACAGCAGGTCCTCTTGCAACGTGCGGCCCGATGCACTGGGAGCTGGGCTCACTGCCTCAGGACGGCCGTGGGCCTGCGTCCTCCTGCCCACGGCCATCCTGACCCGCCACTGCATGCACTAGGGAGCCCAAGGGCCACCGTGCCCCGGGCTCAGCCCTCTTCCCCTCGCTGCCTCCACCCCGCAGGTGACCAGCCTCTCCAGAAGGGAGAGGAGGGAGCACTCAGAGCTGCGGTCTCCTCTCTGAAGGACCAAAGGAGCAGAGACCCCAGCAATTCCTGCCCAGGCTGCGTGGCTTCACTTCCTCCTGGACCCTCTCTCCTTCCCAGTCGGGGCAGAAGCCATGCTGGGCACCAGCGCACCTGCTGCTCCCCCTCGGCCTCACTCCCCCTGGCCGCTCACCCAGCATGCTCCCCTGCGAGCCGGGTGCCAGGCCCCTTGTCGGGTCAGAGGCTGGCCTCCCACAGCAGGACACTGGAGGATCGCCAGCGCCATGTCCTTCGAGTACGCACCGTGTCCTGGTTACCAGGAGCTGCTCAATTACAGGACCACTTCAGCAATTCATGAGACCCTTCATGCAATGAAACAGCTGCAGTGGTCAAGGACAGCTGGATGATTCTTCATAAACCTGTGAATAACTCCTCAATTGCTTAATACAATAAAAACTATCATTTGGATTCATAATGCTGACCACTAATGAATGATAAATGGCTCAATGACACAAGGACAGAGGCCAAGCCCTTGATTGACACTTGCCAGGGCCAGACCCTCTCCAGGCCCTTCCCACCTGGGAAGCCTTGGTTCCTCACAGTGACATTATCACCCCACACAGACGAGGAGACGGAGGGACAGAAGGCGCAGGTGTGTTCTCAGGGACCCACAGCTCACGAGCTCTGCTGGGGACACGGCCTGGGCTGTCCCGTCACCCCACCTGCCATCATGGCCCACACTATGCAGCAGGGGCCGCCCACACCTTCCCACCCCAGGGGGTGCTGGCCAGTCCCCGCCCCCACGCCAAGGGCTGCCTGGCCCCGAGCTCACTCGTGCATGCGGCCAGCTGGAAGCATCAGGAAATTCGCGCCTGGGAGTGGCCTGGCCCACTGTGGCCCTGGATGGAGGAGGCAAGTGGCTATCTCAGCCCATGGCCGGTGGGCTGGCACCTCACTCCCCAGGGTCCCCAGCAGGATCCTCTTCAGCAGCCACACAGCCTGTCCCCTCCCATAGTCTCCTGAGGGCACCTCCCACCCTGACTGTCCCCACTGGGGTTCTGGGGTCCCTCTGACTCTGCATCTTGGGGACTCAAACGAGAACAGCCCCACTGGTGACCTGCTGTCGCCAAGCACCGTCCTAACTGCCTGGAGGCACCACCTTGTCCTCACGACACGCCTTCGGGGGAACCGAGGCACCGAGGTGCAAGAACCCAGGCTCTTCACTGCCACGTGGGTGGAGCAGGACACTGGCCCAGGCATGCCACGCCCTCAGCCGCTCTCACCGAGAACCTGGGGAGCTAGGGCACTGGGGACGGGGACACACGGCCAGCTGTGCCCCAGGAATGATGGGCTGAGGGGGGAAAGGGAACTGACAACCCCCTGCAGGGCTCCGCCAAGGCTGCCCAGCGACCCGAGGCCTTGGCCCCGGGGACAGGTGCTTCCAAGGCAGAGGCCCCGCATGGCTCTGGCCCTCAGCCCTCTGGGGAAGAGGCTGCCTCTGCGGCAGGCGAGAGCCCCCGGCACACCCAAGGGTGCAGAGGAGACCTGCAGCGAGGACCGGCGCAGGCTTGGAAAGGACCCGGGAGGCCAGGGAGAGGCTGGGAGCCGCAGAGGAGAGGCCCCCTGGACCCTGGACGGACGGCCCAGGCACCACCTGCGAGGAAGCCCGGCTCTGTCCCAGCCACGGCCCCTCCACCCCCAGGACGCACGAGGCCCTCTGCTGCTGGGTCCTCCCCGCCAAACCCCAGCAGAGCAGAGCAGAGCAAGCCGAGGCCACGGTGTCTCCCAGCTCTGACCTGCAAAATCCAGGTTGGGTTCTTAGACCGTATGCTTGTGGGCAGTTTGTCACCCAAAAAGAGGTGACTGGAGCCATCCCCACCCCTGGCAGACCTGTCCACGCTGAAAGGCAGCCCAGAGGGAACAGGAAAGATGATGCTCACGTTGCCCCGGACTCCTGAGATGTCCAGGTTGGGCTGGAGAAGCCGGACACCTGACAGTGTGCCATCCAAGGGAAACACGGAGCTCACCTGCACCCTACAGGCTGGGACATGTTGATCTCCTGCTTCTAGTAAAAGCAGTCAGGTCTCAGTGGGCAGCCCCTCAGCCCACTGAGACCTGGCCTTGCCCCTCAGCCCGCTGAGCTGTTACAACTCCAGCCATTGAGTATGGATCGTGCTTTAGGATGAACTTCTAAACACGTCTGAGCAATCTGATGGCAAAACTTTCTCTTCTGCAAAGTCTGGCTGGCTGCCTGCGCTGCCTCTCCATGCACAGGGAGTTTCCTGTGCAAGCAGCAGGCTCCTGCCAACCCCTGCCCAAGGTCTTGCCAGGATTCCCAGGGCCTACTGGTCCTGTGGATGGTCATCCCAGATCTGTCGCCTTCAGCCACCTGGGCATTGCAAGGGGAAACAGAAGTTCTGCACCCAGGTGGCCCCTGCAGGGGGGAACCAAGGAGCAGCCACACAGGTTGGCGACCTGTGTGCTCCCCTGGGGCCCAGCAGAGGGTTCACAGCTGGAACCCCAACACCATTCCCCAGCACCCCAGTTCTTGTCAAAGCATCCTACAAAGAAGAGCATGCCCAGCCCCTCCCTCCAAGACCGCTGTGTGGAGTCAAGGCATGGGCCCTGGGGAGCGAGGACCACACCAGCCATCCCCCTCGGCCCTGAACCCACAGGACAGGCAGCTTGCTCAGCCTGCCCCACCCCCAGCCCTGAACCCACAGGACAGTTTGCTGGACCAAACTCCTGAGTCCGTGTGCAAGAAAGGACGTGACTCACTGAAAAGATGCCCAAGAAGGCTGGTGATGGCCAGCTGCCGTCCTCCTGGGTTAGTGACCCTCAGCTCAGGGGTTGCAGCAAGGTCTTGCTATGGAGCCTCCCCCACTGGGCTGTCCTCCAGGATACAAGTGGTCAGGGCCAGCCAAGACCTGGGCCTCAGTTTCCTCATCTGTAAGCTGAGGACGACAGGCCCAGTCTGATGGGACCCATATGAGAGCAGAGAGAATCCACGTCCCCTGCAGCAGGACACCCCACCAGGGCCGGCCGGCACCTGGGCCCATCTCCAGGGGTGAGTTTGATGCCAGGTTGCTCAATGGGAATGACCAGAACCCATCTCCATGGTGGCCAGCCTGGGTCCTTCATGTCCCACCGTACCCCAGGGCCCAGCAGTGACCCATGGTGGCCAACCCAACGAGGAGAGGCCTCTGGCAAATCATTTCCTTCAAATCAAGGTCTAGTATTGTTTTAAGATTCCCCCTTTAAAGAGCCTAGAAACCTGGTGAAGACCATAAAATATTTGATAACAAAAGGAAAGGACACATCAGCTTTCTAAAAGAGCCTTTATTTGAATAGTAAGATCCATACACTTTTTAAATGGATACAAAAATAAATATTCACTCAGCACGTTCAGGACAGGGCTCCCAGTCCCTGAGCTGCAGGTCAGAGTCCCTGGTGACCTTACAACACCTAAGCAAACGGGTCCAATGGCCTTAAGACTACAATGCTCCCTGTGTTGCCCAAATGAAAAAGCCACCACCACGGGCACTTTCCAATGTCCCCATGTGTATTCACATGCCACCCACCAAAGGCCCTGTGGCCGCTGGGCCTTACTCCTGCATCCCCTCTGCACCAGTGGCAATGAGAAGCACCTGGTACTCCTGGCCCCTCGGATGCCAGAGGCTTCCAGGTGGGCTGCACCCAGCTCCCAAGGACCGACAGGTCAGGCCATCTCTGAGGTCCTGGGCACACCTGCTGGAGAGCCAGGTGGAGTGTCAGGAGAAGGACGAGGTCAGCATGCAGTCAGCCCCTGCCTGTGCTGGCTCACTCCAGCAGGACGCAGGCCCTGGCGGGGTCCCCAATCTCCTGGACTCACCTTGGCCAGCGCAGGTATAATACAGGGGACAGATGGGCAAGAGGAACCCCGATTTAACAAAACAGCAAAATTTTAGGAAACACATTCAAGTACTTTTTAATCAAGCAGATTTCAAAAGCAATTTCAAAGTGGTTTGGAAAGACATCAGATCTCAAAAGATGACAAGGCCGAGCCCCGGCCTCTACGCCAGCACTAAGGCTCCTGCGGCTGGCTTCTGAGCGGCCTCTCGATTCTGACCAACTTGGCATAGGAAATGCATCCTATTTGCTAGTAAGTAGGGTCCATTCTCCTAGCGCCAGCACAAGGTCATCTGTTGGCCACTGCCGCACAGCTCTGCTGGAGAGGGGCGCTGGGGTGCAGACTGGGGCCACCTGGAGCCCAGGGCAGTGGGCAGCAGGGGTGGGGAGCGAACCCTGCCAGTCCAGCTCTGACCCTATCCCCATGCGGCCTTTAAACCATGGCTTACAGCTGCCTGCTGCAAAGAAAAAGACTTAAGAGCCGCTCACATGTGAAATCAGACATCTTTTCATTGTCAGATTTCAATTTTTTTTAAAGGTCAAGACCATTTAGAAAGAACAAAAGACAGAGGTACATGGGATGATTTAATTACAGAGACAAAAAATAAATCTAGTTGTCAGCTTCCTGGCAATAAATCCCTAAAGGACACATCTGAAACAGACCCACCTGCGCACCTGCACTCCCAGGTGCACCCCACCCCCTCTCACGGGCCACAGCGGCCCCCTCCCCAGAGGGAAGATGGCTCTAAATATCGTGAAATCTTACTAAAGAGCTCAGAAGTAAAATGCCACTGTGCGTGGAATCAGGCATCTGAAGTCACAACTCTGCATCCTAACGGGACAGAAAGAGCCTCCTCCTCGCCAGCCGACCCTCAGCTCAGGCATGTCACGCAGAACAGCGCGTGAGCAGGGCTGGTGAGTCTTTGCAGACATCCATTAACCCAAAACGCAAAAGAATCGCAGCAATTACTGAGTATTAAAGAAAAATGCAGAAAATTACATTTTTTAATCAAAGGCCACGTTACAGCAGCCACACCTTCCTGGGTTCCTGTCACTTGCGCCTTGGCCCAACTCTGGCCCAACGTGCACACCTCGGAGGCACCCACACAGGTCCAGGACGCCGACGGCACCCGAGGGCCCACAGCCCTTGTCACAGTCCCCAGAGGCACCAGCGCAAACGGTGTGGGGGCCCAGGAGGACGCTGCTTAGACGGTGATCTGCTGGTTTTCTCGGAAAAAGGGTCTCTGGTGTGAGGCACAGACATCAGGAAACATCCGGAAGGCCTGGTCGGGCGGGGGCTCCTCGGGGGCCTGCAGCAGGGAGCCCGCACCGCAGCTCTTCCCCACCTCCTCCATCAGCTGCCGCACGTACAGCTGCTCGATCTAGAGGATCAGAGACGGGTGGGAAGAGCGGGGCCTGCACCTACCCCAGTCGGAACCCATCACTGCAGAACCCCACCTGAGCCCCACGGGCGTGGACCGAGCAGGTGGCGCTCAGCAGCCTGGTGCACGCTGTCCACACTGGCCCGAGCCAGTGCCCAGCACTCCACCCCAGCTCCACCCCTTTGACCAGGCCGGATGAGACCTACAAAGTCCTGACCCGCCACTCAGACCACCAGGAAACCAACAGGTGCAATCTTTCTGAACAGGCTTTGGTTTTTACAAAACCAACCAAATAGGACAGAAAGAAACACACACTCCCAGACCTGAGAAGAGGCTCAGAGGTGGCAAGACTCCCCACACGGGCCTGCCTCTGCACCAGGAGGCCTGGGCACGAGGCCAGGGGTAACCCTCTTACCTGCACAAGAATGAGCTTGGAGCGCAGGGGAGCCATGTCTGGAAACTCCTCCCCGAAGCACAGCACCACCCTGCTCTCGGGGAGGCGGCTCTGGCTGCTGTAGAACTGCTGCAGCTCTGAGGGGGGAGGGGCTGGTGAGGCGGGGCCATACGCTCCTCCTGCCTGCCTCCCCCCCCAAAGAGGGACCCAGAGTCTGGCCATTCCCGTGCTGATGGTCTCCAACACCTGGGCTCCAACGCCAGTGCAGAGAGAGCTCACTGCACACTGCGCCCTCCCTCTCTAGACACCGGGAGGGTCCCGTTCCTCCCTAGCCCTGTGGGGCCTAAGTGGACAACCTCCACCTGAGGACACCCAGGGGCTATACAGTCCGCCTGGTGGCCCTCAGTCAGCCCAAAGGCCCTGAAGGCACAGGTGCCACCCAAGTGCTCAGCACACAATGCCAGCACATCTATAAACATGCACACGCCTCCCCAGGGACCTCGCCAGGACACAGGCGCTGAGCCTGGCCTGGTGGCTGCCCTGGGCTGGGGGACGGTCTGTGGGCAACCGCAAAATGGAGTGGAGTGTCCAAGAGGAAGGTGCTGACCCACCCCTGCTCTGCCCCGGGGATGCTGGGGCACAGACAGGTCCCAGATGCTTAGGGGAAGGCACACAGATGGTGCACCACCTGCCCGGTGACCCTCCCCTCTGCAGTGGGCCCATGGGAAGGAGGCAGGTCCCCCAGGTGGGGTGGCAGAGGGACTGCGGCACAGACCTCGGAAGAACTGGCTGGTGTCGAAGACCTGGACCACGGCCTCGCGCTCCAGCTTGTTGGGCCGGCCCTTGCTCACCACGGCGTTGCCGCTGCAGAACACGCGGCCCTGGCACAGCCGCCTGGCGAACACGCCCTGCCGGCTGCTGTGCAGCAGCACGCCTCGCTCCAGGTGCCCGAACAGCTTGCGCGTCACCTGCCTCTGCCGCTCGCTGGGGATGGTGTCGGCGGGCGGGAAGCACACCAGCTGCAGGCCCTCAGGGCCGAAGGCCTTGGGGCCCGGCTGGCTCAGGGCCAGGCGGCAGCCCTCGGGGCAGGTGGTGGTGGTCTGGCCCACCAGCTTGCCGCCATAGTAGAAGCTGATCACCATCTGGGAGAAGGCTGTGAGGACAGGGCCATCAGGGCTGGTGTGCGAGACCTCCAACCTGGGAAGGTCCCACACCCCTCCACAAGTGACATTTTCATGAGCGTAAGCGAATGTGTGGGACACCAAGGAGCAACAACCGCCACAGCAAGACCTCCCAGCATGGCCAGAGCGGCGCGTGGGGCGGGCGTGGGGTGGGGCATGGTATGGTGCCTGGTGCGGGGCCTGCCCGCCGGCACCCGTCAGCTCCCGTCAGCTCCCGTCAGCTCCCGGGGCAGTGCCGTCTCTGGAGCTGCTGCCCAGGCCTGAGGCACACATGAAGTCAGGACTCGGGGACATCACCTGTGTCCCACAGGTCACAAACCCCGGGGGATCTCTGGACTCAGACTGAGAGCCCCCGCAGAACCCCTCACCAGGCCTGTCCTCAGGAGGACCTGGAACCTGAGGTGGCCGACTTCAGTGGGGCTCTGGAATCCGCAGCCTGAGGCGCGGAGCTGCTCTGGCCCCACTCATCTACCTGACGTTTGGAGAAACCAAGGCCCAGATGGGCTCGCCTAGCAGCTAGCGGCAGTACCAGCCCCTGTACCCCTCCAGCCTCCCCCTTTGCCACCGACAGCTCAGCACACTCCACCCCCTTCACCCTGGAACAATTTCTGAACATTGCTCCAAATGAAAGAGTGCCAAAGCAACTGTCACCATGGTGGCACTTTGCCCTGTCATCTCCGGGGCCTCATCTCAGGGTCAGAGCCTCAGCTGTGTGAATGGGCAGCTGCACTAGGATCAGCAGCGTGCCCTAAGGCACCCAGACGGGATGGCTCTGTCAAACAGGAGGCCCACAGGGACCCACGGAGGAGCCAGCTAAGGCACCGCCCACCACCGGGCACCCCCAGGGCCTGGGCTCCCCTCAGCCAGTCTCTCCGTCGCCAATGTCCTTCCCAGTCCCACAGGTGGGAACCGGGCACCCCTCAGCTGAGCTGCAGAGAGGAACCCCTTCGCGCGCGGCCAGCTGTGTGTCGTCCCCCTGCTGGGAGCCAGCAGCCTCGCCCCCCAGACCACGGCCCAGTGCCAGGCAGGACACAGCTCAGCCTGGTGAGCTGGGACCTCGTGAGCACAGCACTGCCCAGCGTAAGAGGCCTCGAGCCAGGCCAGCCAGACGCTGCGTGAGCCTGAGGCCAGCGTCCCTCTGTGAAGCTGGGTCAGAAGCCCCCGTGCCCATGGGCAGCACAGGCACAAGCTCGGCGCCCAGCGGTGCCACTTCCTGGCAATTCCAGCTGAGCACCCGCCTCTGCCACCAGAAAGGCCTGGGCACACTCCTCTCAGCCCCCAGCCTGGTGCTCTGGGCCCCCTGAAGGCCAGGCTTTGGCTTCCCACAGAGCTGTCCTCTGCTGCCCAGGAGACGCAGTCTGCTGAGCCTCAGTTCCCAGGGCCGCTGGCAGCAGCGCAGCCAGAGTCCTCCAGGTACCGGACAGAGAGGGGGCCGCCAGGGACGGGACAGCCGGGCACACCCCTGATCTACTGGGGGCTGCAGCCTGGGCCCTGAGCCTAGGAGATGGGAAATAACTGCACCCACCCAGCGGGGGTGGGGGAAGGAAGGCCGGAGCCTCGGGCTGACCCCACTGCCTGGCAGTGGTCAGTGAACACGCCACCAGGGTCACTGTGGTCACCGAGGGCATCACCGTAACCGTTTCTCCTCTCGCTGTGAACATGAGCGTGGGGAAAGGCGGCGGCGGCGGCGGCACCACCACCAGGCAGTCTCCACCAGAGTCCCAGAAACAGAGCGGCAGGCGGCACCACAGCACACGGGGCAGGGTCCCAGGCCCGTCTCACAGACCAGCCCCAGCCCCCAGGGTCACAAAGCCTGTGTCCCAGCAGTGCCCATGCCCCGCCCCCAGAACACCCCCTACCTGAGTGGTGCGCTTCATAGGCGGCGTACCCGGGCACCAGCGGCAAGCCTGCAGGACACAGGGGCGTCAGGCCGGAGGCCACGTGCAGCAGCCCAGGGGCCCTGCCCAGGCTCCTGCGGCACGTGGTTCCCCTCCAGAGCAGGAGTCCCTGCCTCCAAAGTGCAGAACCAGACCTCGGCCAAGCCAGAGCGCGGGGACTTCCTCCGCCCACATCAGTGCCCTGCGGGGCCACGTTGCCTTCCCACCTGGGGGGGCTGGGCCCGGCGAGTCACTGGACTGCGTGCCACCCCCCCAGCACCTCTCAAAGGCGTCCCTGCCACACAGGGGTCTTTCCCAGCCCCAGGCAACACTGCCAGCCACAGCCTGGGGACCTCCAGGCCTGCCAGGCCACCACCCCCTTCTGGTCTGCTGCTGGTCACAGCAGGGAAGAGCAAGGAGGAAGGCAAGGTGCTGGGGCGAGACGCCAAAGCCCAGGGGCAGCCGGGCAGCAGCCGGCACTTCCGCATGTCGCCAGAGCCAGCAGGGGCGAGAGGCCTCCTGACCCCCGGGAGACCAGGGCAGGTCCCGCCGTCTCATTGTACATCCAGGCTCCCACTGGGGGGCTCCCACTGGGGGCTCCCCGAGTGGCCCTCCCCTGCCGTCCTGGCTGTCTTCAGTTCTGCAGGGACCCTTCCTGTCCCCCGGAGCAGCACAGCCAGGAGAGCCCAGGAGGGGCCGGGTGGGCCGAGAGCCTGGTCCTCCCTCCAGCATCAGAACATTCCCAGACCCCCTCCTGCTGCCGCCTGGAAGCGTGGAAGACAGCAGCCATGGACATGGGACATGGGATGGGAAGGCTGGGAGGCTGAGGGCACGGCTGGGCTCTGCCCTGGTGGCTGGAGCCAAGCAATGCTCTCCACCTCTCAGCTCAGCCATCATGATGGGTCACAGCGGTACCAAGTGCCCAGCTCCTTGCCCAGCTGGTGTGAGGCTGACCACAAGAACACGGTCACTCGGGTGGCCAGCGGTGCCCGCTCCGTCCTCACCTGTGCTGGGCTGCTGCACCCACCAGTCCGGGAGGAGCTGGCTCCGGCAGGCCTCCGGCGGGGAGGGGCTCCGCTTGATCATCCCCAGGTAATCGTCCACGGGAGGCTGCGGTCAGGTGAGAGGGGACAGCGGCTCACTCACTGAGCCTCCAGCATGGGGCTCCACTGCTCTGAAATGAACAGCTCAAGCACCACAAAAGCCTCGCTGTCACCTTTACCTCGTGAGCTAAAAGTTAACCTTACTTTGCAGCTGCAAAGACCTGGCCTGTGACCCACCAAGCTGGCAGCTAAACCAGGGGCCAAGTCCCAGCCTCCCTGGGCAGGTGACTGTGACACCCCAGATGCACGCCAAGGAATGGTGACCCTGAGCAATCCTGCCAAGAACCCCGCTCCATGGATCTCCTGAAGGCCCTGGGGAGTCCCATCACGGGTCATCACGGAACCCACATTCGTAAGACTCTGGCACGGCAACCTGCCACCTCCCTCCCTCAGACGAGCCGCAGAGAAGCCTGCACTGAAAACAGGACAGTGCTGAAGGACACAGCTGAGAAGTCCCTCGGTCCACTGCCACAGACCACCCAGAAAGGTAACGGTGACGGCTACCACCCGCAGAGGAGCCGGCAGCCCCAGGCCGTCACACACTGTCATTTCATCCCCTGGGGACGCTGCCCCTGCTGGCATAAGGACTCCTCCCACACCCACACCACTGTGGCAGGGCGCGTGGACCACTAGTTATTATCCCAGGTCCGCCTCGTCACAGCCACAGACAGCCAAGAGGCCAAAGGTGGGAGAGAAGGGCCCGGACAGCCAGCTGCCCTCAGGAGACCCGAGCTCTTCCCCGTGGGCTTGCTACGATCCTAACGGGCTCGGCTGTCTGCCTCTCCAGGACATTAAGGAGCGAAACACGCAGGTTGAGACCTCAGCTGTCCGTGAGCGGAACAGAGCGGCTGGCACAACAGCCCACTCCCGCAGGAAGGCCTGCCTGCTGTCCCCGCAGCCTGCCCAAGAGGGGGACAAGAACAGACGGCTGTTAGGACGGTCCAAACACGGACAGGTCAGGGCCCCAGAAAACTCCACCCTCACAGAGTAGGCAGCCCAGGCCCAGCTCAGGAGCAAGGGGACAGGACGCGAGGGGCTGGCCAGTGCAAGAAGGCCGCCGCAGCAGGGCCAGTGAGCCTGCTTCGCCTCCACGGGTGGAGCTGCTGCTGAGGACCAGCCCGAGCCCCTGGCCTACGGGGGGAGACGGGCGCGTTCCCCTGCCTGCCAGGCTGCAGGCCGCCCCTGCGCCCAGGGCCTCCACCTACCTCCTTGATCACCTCCTCCATCTCCAAGCGGCCACACTCCAGGTCCACAGCGTCGTTCACACAGCCGGGAGCTGCCACGCCCAGCTTGCCTGCGGGACACCAGACACCAGACCCCGTGAGGCGCCAGGCGGCAGTGCCACCCTCTCATCGTCACTTTTCCAGTGGAGCCTAAGGAAGTCAGACCCACGGTCCCCGCTGGCTTCAAGGTCTGGGAAAGGTGCAGGCTCAGCATGTCCACAGGGAGAAGCTGGCAGTGGGGTCATGGACGGACATAGCCCTTTGCCCTCCTCCTTCCACTGCTGGATCCAAAATGAGCCCCAGACACACTACACCAGGGCTGGACCTCCCGGCCGCGGGCTTCACTGACCAGCTGGGGCATGTGGAAAGACTCGATTTCCTGGCAAAACGTGCAGGTGGCAGGAAATCTCCCCAGGCCTTTCCCCTGCACAGGCCACCGCACACGCCCACCCCAAGACCCAGCGGCACCGCTGGACCAGCCTCACACCTCGAGAGCCTGCAGTGCCCAGCATTTCCAGCGAGTGCCAGAGACCAGCCTTCACCTGTGCCATCGCAGCGACTCAGTTCTCCTGAGCTCCCCAGTTCTCCTCCAACATCCACACTTGCAAGCAACCCACCCGCCACCCCAACCCCGTGCTGAGAACAGGCCAGGCACCTGCCTGCTCATGCGTGGCCTGGGGAGAGGCAAGAGAAACTTCCCTCTTGCTTCGAATCCCATGAGATTCTACAGTGATGAAAGATTATCCAAAACAGGGAAATAAGGCAGAACCAAGACCAGGTGGCCCTTCAAGTCCCCAGCCCCAGCTATCCCTGGGGGGGTCCTCAGATGCTCCAGGGAGGCCACGGCATTGGACCTGCCACCCTCAGGGATCAGAGCTGGGCTCAGGAGACTGGTGCTCAGCTGCAGGAGATCAGGCACAGGGGACCTGAAGGAAAGATGACCAGGCCGCAGAGTCCGACTCTCAGGCCTCCACCCAGGCTCGGCTCCCCAGCCACCTCTGAGCCAGCACCCAGAGCAAACCGAGCTCCAGCCCCAGTGACGTCCCAACGCAGCGCCCTCCCTCCTTAATGAGTTAAGACAGAGTTTCTATCAAGTCACGATTTCAACTCTTCCTTAAAATCATCCCAGAGTGGGATAAAACTGATGCTTTCCAGGGCTCCAGGCATTACCGGGCTGCCAAAAAACTTTGAAGGACATCGTGACTAGAGTGCTACCTGGAGTGGCCAAGAAAAATCGATATGGTAAAAGAAGGCTTTCGACCCGTGATGGTGACTGGATGGACCCACAGGGCACAGCGCTGCTGCGGAGGCCCTGCAGGCTGGGGAGCGGCTGGGGAGCGGCTGGGGAGCAGCCCACAGAGCTCAGGAGGAGGCGCAGGGACTGGGGCAGTGTCCTCGCTGCGCTTTAGCCCTTAGAAAATGCTCTGGGGATTCTGTAGCTGGAAGAGACCTCAGGCATCATTCCATCCCTGAGTTCCCAAACTGCAGCCTCTTGCCAGTGAGGAAGCCAGCAGGCCACACTCTGAAACTTCCAGAACCTTCCTCCCAACCCTCACGACCCATCCCTTCCTGCCCACCAGATCTGCCCCTTTCCCTTCCTCAAGTTGCTAGAAAATAAAAGGAGCCCCCCATAGGGACCACTGCAGGGCCAGGTTCCGCCAGGGGCTCCCGGGCCATGGTCGAGGCCACAAGCCCATCTCCTCTGCCACCCCGCCCCAACGCTCCTCCGCTGGAAGCTGCCACTTGACAGCAAGGACGCATGACGTCAGCAGGGAGTTCAGCATCTGCTGGTGCAAAGGAGGGAACTACTTCATTTAACTAAAACCATGCGCCCAGCCCCCTGGGCAGGGACTGGACCCAAGCTCCAGGCCCTGCTGCGGACGGGCACCAGATAGGCAGGGCCGAGGCTGGGGACCCACAGCTGACAGTTACATTTCTGCTCTTCCTCTGGGACGATCCGGTAGACTTTGTATGGCTCAGAAATGTCCAGCTGGGAGCGGTCTGTCACTTCCTCAAAATCTGGGCTCTTGTTCAAAGCACAGCGTAACCTTGTCTTCCAAGTGGCTGGTTCAGCTTTGTCCCCTTCCTTAAACTTCCCTTTAAAAACCGCCCAGGCCTGAAGAAAGAAACAGAGACACGTTGAACATAGGGGGGTCCACCGACCTCGACCTCCCTCACCACGCGGGGGCCAGAACACCCCCAAGGAGTTCTTGCCGGATCAGTGCTCACCCAGGAACTACAGCAGCCACTCGCTCACTCACCCGGATGTGAAGAGACCCAGGCGGCGGATCCCCTGGATCGCCAGGCTGAGCCAAAACTCGAACCCGGGTGCAGGCTCATCACGCACACCCGGGACAAGCCTTTGGCAAAGTCCCTTCCCTGGACTAAAGGGCCTGGCCAGGGGCTCAAAGAGGAAGTTGCACATGGTTTCATGAGAATGTTAAAAACAAAGACTTTTTTTTGTATTTTCAAATGAACCCCTATCTAAAACTTAGCAGAAAAGGGAACATTTGCAAAGTCTAAATGTGGCCACCACTGCCCTGTTCCTTTTAATAGAAATTTTGTTTTGCATTTTTACATGATTCTGCACCACCCCCCACTGTTGAAATGCAATGAGATGTTTTCCTCCTGTCGACTGGTTGCCTTTTCTCTCTCTCTCTTATTCCTGTTTTCTGACCTCTCCAAACTCAGGATCTAAACCAGGATCAGAAACTCAAAGCTGGATACTGCAACTCAAAGCACAGAGTGGGGCGGCATTTAAAAAATAAGACCCGCCCAGCGCAGTGGCGCATGCTGTGACCCCAGAGTCACAGGAGGCCGAGGCCCGGTCCCAGAGTTATAAAGGAAAAGAGCCAGGCTGCAGTGCAGTGGGGGAGCCTCCTGGGGTGCAATCCCCAGCTCAGCAAAAATGACAAACACAGCCTGTGAATGAGCGTAGGTCCCCATTCCGAGTGAGAAGACAGGCCACTGGTCAGAGGGAGCCACCGCAGTGAGGTGACCTCAGGCTCTAACAAAGTCGGTGTGCTCTGACCTTAAACAAGAAACATGGGAGAAGGCGTCCCTCCCATTTGGGAAAATGCAATTCCAAGAGGAAAGTCACCTCCCCAGGGTACCCCAGTCTAAGACTGGGTGACAGATCTACTGACTCGGACACAAGGCTCTCCCTGGATGTCTGGGAAATGCAGGTTCCTTGGCCCTGCCACTCAAGAGTCACCTGCAGCACGTGCCAGTTAGGTCTGGGCTCTGCATCCTCAGCCACCACCCAGGTGGAGGGCACACTTCCAGAGTCCCAGGGAGCCCATGAGTCACAGCTCCTTCAAAAGAGCCCAGCCCTCTCGAAAGAGAAGAGCGTTTACAATCCAAGGTCAATGCTCGACTCTGTTAATGCCAAAAGAAACTGGAAGAACATTCCTGCAAGTGAGCACAAGTGGCTGCTTCCTCTCTGGCAGACATACACTCCCCTTCGAAATCGTTGCAAAAGTCAGCAGCCTCGGCTCCCGCCTCCCCTCACTGCCCTGCTGACCATGCATTGACTCCTGAGGTTGCTCCAAGACATGGAAGGGCAGACCAGGTGCTAGCTGCATGGCTAGTTTTGCTCTTGACATCAGGGTGTGCCTGCCTGGCACCACGGGCGTTGGTCATGCTCTGGGGGCCGCCCGAGCACTGCCGGACACAGTAGCACCCCTCCCCTGTCGGCAGGCATGGCCAAATGTCCCTTGGGAACTGGCCCCCACTCTGAGAACCACCAATCAACCCACATTCCAGCTGGCCTTGGATGAGACACGTGGACTCTCTGGTGATGGGCAGCCACCGGCAGGCACTGGAGCACAGCACCCCCAGGCAGTGTCTTGCTCAGTCCCCATCTGAGCTCGCCCTGTGACCAAGGCCAGGGTATGCCATCCATCAACACAGGCCCATGGTCAGCCCACGGTCAGGAAGTGTCCTGGGATGCAGCCAGCCCTGGGCCTGTCCCACAGCAGGCAGCTGGCCTCTTGGGACCCCTCTGGCCAGTTCTAACTTTGCTGGGCACTCTCAAGACCTCCCAGAGCTAAGGCCAGGCAAAAGGCTAAGGCCGCCCAGGAGCCCTCAGCCTGCCCCCATGGTACACGGCTGTGACTCTGGCACCAGTGTGAAGTCCTCCTCTTCTGCCACTACTGCCTCCTGGTCTTAGCAACAAACTCCTGTATTTCCCTTGAAGGCCTCCAAAATCTGAAGCACCCGCAGCATGGTGCGTGGTCACTGATGAGGCGGTGACAACACCTGCTCCTTGTCACCTGCTCCGCGGGAGCCCTGTGGGCCACGCCCTCACCTGACTAGACAGTTATGAAAATGAAAGCACCTTTTAAAAATAAACTGACTTGAGGATCCTGGTGTACGTGGGGTTGGCACAGCACCTGCTGAATGTCTGACGGCCCACCTGAGGCCCCACTGAGGCGGGCACAGGAAGCCAGTGTCAGCTGCTGCCCTTGGGCAAGGTGAGTCCTCCGTGACTTCTCACAGTCCTCTCACCGAGCCAGGAAGCAAACAAACATTTTTTCCTTAACTCCTAAGTTTTGGGAAGGTTTTCTTGAAATGAGAGAAACAGGTTCTCTACTGAACAAAAAAGCCCATGACAGCTCTGCATAGCGGGTCTCTCTGCTGACCTCTCCCATCAGTAAGCTCCCTGTGGTCGCTGCTGCAGGAGGCTGGCTCCCAGGGGACACTGGACAGCAAGCACCTCCACAAAGCCCAGCTCGTCGAAGCACCAGATGGGGCTCTGGGCTCTGAGTGTCCCCTCCCACAGCCTCCGTGCTCGGGTGGGCACCCGTGTCCCAGCCGGCCTCATTCCTGCTGAGATTGTAGACTCATTTCAGATTGCCACATCAAGCAACTGCGTAACCAACGGAAACCCTGGGAATCTTGCACACTCTTAACGCTGTTGAAACGGCCGTGGAGAACATTGCATAAGTATAAATCTGGGCTTTATTCATCACTCATGGGGCACAGGCGGTAGAGGGAGCAGGCTGAGGAGAAGCCTGCATCCCGTCAGCAAGCCCAGGCACCCTGCTCTGCAGCCTCTGCTGCGCTTCACCCCACCACTCGGCAAGCCTCTGCCACTCAGCCTTCCTAGCCCTCCCCACCTCCTCCTATGCCATCGGGAGGCCAACAGCAGTGGCCTCCAGTTAGACATTGATCCTGACCATGGTGGGCCGAAAACAGGGTTCTTGGTGAGCAGGGGGAGACTGCGGCCTCAGGATGTTGGGGCTGCAACAGGCACCTAGCAGGGACAGGCCAGGAATACCACAAGTGTACTGCAAGGAGCAGGGCAGCCCTCACCACAAAGTGTCAGGTCAAGTGCGCTGGGGACTGTGGCTGCCAGGCCCCTGAACTTCCAACCAGCCCACTGGCACTCGGGTCCTGTTCAGAGTGGGCAGAGTCATTCCCAAGCGAACTTCACCATGATGCCAAAGGCAAAAAGCACCTAATATCAAAGGGAGAGAAACCTCCCCACGTGGAGGGGAAAGAAAGCAGGGCTGGCCCTGCAAACCCCAGGGTGTCCGGACTTCCTGACCACGTCCTAGACCGGAAGGATCGAGGGACAAGTGGGCAACAGGAATCTCCTGAGGGCAAGCAGAAAATGTCCCCAGGGGCTTGCTTCCCCTGAAGTGTCAGTAACTGGCATCCCCAAGACACCCACCACCTCTGCAAACACAGCCAGGCCACACCTGTGGGGCTGAAATGCACCTTCGGCCAGCACTGACCTCGGCACGCTCCACTCTGGGTCAAGTGGGAGCCTTGGTCATTTTTATTAACGTGTGTCAGAAAAGAGTCACTTCTGGCTGAGAGTCCAGCAATACGATGGGTCCTGTAGGCCTTACCCCCACGTGCCCCTGGTCTCGGGTCTGCTTCCATCCTCTGCCACTCAGCCTTACCAGCTCCCCCCACCTCCTATGCCATCGGGAGGCCAACAGCAGTGGCCTGCAACCTGGGCTGGGAGCAGACCCCTGTGGTACACTGTGCACCAGGCAGCAGTCGGGGCTGACCCTGGCCTCGGGCCCCAGACCTCCCGGGGTGGAACCTGGACACCTGGAGCCTTAGAGATGCCCACAGGTGACTGTGACAACCCTAAGGGAACCCTGATGACCTCGGTGGCCTGCCGGTTCCTTCCTCTGTCTGAATCTAAGTGTAACGGCAAGAAACTGCTCCTCTTCTCAGGGGTGTGTGTGTGGGGGGGGGGCGGGGGTCCAAGACTGCACCATGCAGGAGCTGTGAGACTGCCAAGCCACTCTCAGTGAAGCTGCAGAACGAGGGTGAACAGGACAGCAGCCTCACACGTGGGCCAGGCCGGAGCAGAAGGGCTCTCCATGGATGCCAGCCGGCGTGCTACCGGTGGCAGTGCTAGAGGGCATGGGGTTGCTCATGCTCCAGGGAGAGACTGCGTCCAGACATCTGCTGCAAGTTCAGGACACCTCTCACACCCAGCCCGAAGTCAGGACGGATGGCATCTCCCCCTTCTAGCTGGCCCTACAGCACCAAGCACAAGACCAAGACTGAAACCTCCCCCGTCCACCACGCCATCCTGGTGGCAGCACAGGGGAAAATATCTTGGTGGGAGAGGAGAGAGGGACAGAAAGCACCCATGCCCTCATGGGAAAAGTGCCAGTGACACCACTGACCCCAGATGACTTAACAGGTGCGAAGTCACCTGACGTACATGCCCCAACCAACATCTGTTGTTAAAGCCCTGGATCAGATTCCTAGCAAATCAGAAAGGCATCCCTGGACATCTCCACAGTGACAGGGAAGACGCTCCCCGCTCCCTGCTCGGGGTTTTTACCTTGAAGATGGAGGCGTCCACCTCCTGGTTATAATCCTGCTTGCCGGCATGCTTCCATGGGATGCGGAACATGTTCTTCTCGTCATTTTCCCAAATCAGTCCTGGATACATGCTGCTGTCGATCTGCTCGATCAGCCACTGTCGCAGTCGCCGGCCACCATTCCTGTCACACATCCTTGGAAAGAAAAAAAATAAAACATCTTATATCTAATGTCACTTCATTAGTCAGAGCAACTGCAACAAGAGGTTCAGGACAAAGGTGCCACCCGCCAGGACAAGACAATGCAGGCCCCAGTGGAATCCAGAGGAAAACTGAAAGCCCCGAGGCGGCAGCTGGCCGATGCGCGCCCACCTGCACCTCTCCCCACCTCAGACAAATGCCGCCACAGGGAACAGGAGCACTTCAGCCCCCAGCTGGGAAGTCCACTTGCCCAGGTGCAGCATCCTCCATGAGCCCCCATCACTCTAAGACCCAGCCACTGCCTGATGCCCAGGGGACAGGTGTTCCCCAGAGGACAGCCCAGCACTCCTGCTGCCGGGAAAGGAGGAAACCCTCCAGGCTCAGCCCTCCAGGGTCCTTTGCCTCACCCGAGTTTGAGATAAGGCAGAGCTGGGGTCTGATTCCCCCTGAGTAACCAACGCATCACTTAACCTGGAGTCTTGGGGGTAGGGGTTCTTGGCACTGCAGTGACACATATGAAGCCCCTGGGGCAGGGCCCCCCTCAGAGAACCTCTCAATAACAGATGGGCTACCTTCCTCCCCCAGGTGCCTCGCCTAAAGGCACTGTGACCTGGGGAGCTAATTGCAGGACACCAGAGGCATCCTTAGACACTCCTGCCAGAGTTATGAGATGGCTTCCCCAGCGGGACAAGAACGAGAACACCATGCCCGTAGCAACTCATGCAACATTTACCAGAAAGGTGCTGGAAATCCCCTAGGCAGCTGGACAGGCGCCCACCCCCCCAAAAAAAAACAGCATTTCTATTCTTCCGATTAAAATGTGACCTCTGTGGGCAACAAGTTTGAAGCAATCAGCAGTGAAAAGACATAACATCCCCAGGAACACGGTCATACCCAGAACTGTGCTGGTCCATAAAGCAAAACCAAGGCCAACCACCTTTGCAAGAAGTATGCATTTTGGAAACCCCAGCACCCTGCAGGTGGCTCTGGGGCAGGAAGAGAGGGCAGGTCCCAGGGGGAGGGAGGTGAGATCTCTCAAATGCCAATTTTAGCTTTTCCATCCAATAACCCCAGCCACCCACTTGTGGGGAGAAGATATGAATCAGAAACTGGACTCTGATTTGGAAACCTGACCTAGAAAGCTCTGCTCCAATCACCTGCATCTCCATGAGACCCCTTCACCTGAAAAGTGAGGGACTGACCCCAGGCACAGTGGCAGAATCCTAAGGCCACTGTGCTGATAAATAAGAAGGAGTACCTAGGGTACCTAGGGAGAGAAATGAAACCCACCCTGAAAACCAAGTAGGCTGCTCATTCTGGGAGCAGGGAAGAGCCCCCCAGCTGGAGGAATGGACTGTGTGGAGGAACATGGGGGTCAGGACATAAGGGAGGAGTCGGCTCTGAGAACATGTCAACTAAAGGAGACATTTCCGCTTGCACCCTCTGAGTAGCCTGAAATCGGGAAGCAAATTCTGTTGGTATGGGCCTTTTTCTAGAAAGAGGGTCAACACTTTTTCATCAAGATTTCTAAGGGATGCACTCCCCCCCCCCCAACAAAAAAAAAAGTGTTAGAGGACAACTGTCTAGGTGACTGTAGAAAACAAGAGAGAAGTGGTATTGAGAGGAAAAGTGAATCACAGATTAGGAAAGCTGGGGAATACTTCAGAAACCATCCAATCCAGCCCCCTCTTCACTCAGGAGGAAAGAGAGGCTGAGAGGGAAGCAGTCACCCCAGCACCCAGCAGACAGGCGCCCAGCAGAAGGCCAGAACTGGCCTCAGCCCCCCAAAGCGGCTCTGCTCACTCTGCGGAGAAAAGCCAGTCAAACTAGACACCCCCGCAGGCGGACAGTCCCTTCTGGAAAATCAGGCGATTTCCCTGCAATCGCCTGAGACTCTGGCGGCATTAAGGACCTAGGAGGCTATTGCAATTGCCACCGGAATGATTTCGTGAACACTAGCAAGTTAATTCCACCAAACACCCAGGCAGGAAAAATAATAAGCCAGTCACATGCTTATAACTTCCTCCTCCCGGCGGCGAGGTAACAATTCCCCACGGCAGGTCCCACCGGGAGCCACCCCGCATCCCTGCGCAGCGCGCTGGGCCAGGCTTCCAGGCCCACCCGCTGGACGCCGGGGCAGGCAGGACCAGGTCCCCTCTAGGGACCCCAGGCGCCACTCTGGCCGCCGAATACCCTCGTCCGGGAGACGAAACCGCACCAGGCCACTTCTCTCTCTGGCCCTAAGCTTTCTCAAGTGACCACTCAATCACTCCCGACCTTGTCACGAAGGAACCTGCCGTGCCCCAGACGACAAAAGTGGGACCCATTTTACTAGCTCTTACCTTTGATTTAAACAAACAAAAAAAAAAAGTAGGGGCCAGAGGTTCAGAGGTTTGGGGACAACTTAGAACTCGCCTGCCAAGCCCGTCCTGCGCCCTGGGGCTCATCCGCACGGAAACGTCCGTGCGACGGAGACGCGGACGCGGGCGGCGGGCACCGCGCGCACGGAGCCCGCACTCCACGCAGCCCGCCCGCAGGGCCGCACGGGACCCCGCCGCCTGCCCCGGTGGCCCCGCGCGCCGACCCCGGGGAGGGCGAGGTCCGCGCCAGCGCCCGCGTCCCGGGCAGCACGCGCGCCGGCGGCCGAGGGACGGCGCCTACCTGCCGCGCCGCGCCGCGCGTTCCCACGCTCCCGCGCTCGACCTGCCGCGGCTCCGGGCGCCGCGCGGCGGCTTTAAGGGCGGGGCGGGCTCGGTGCGCGGAACGACGCCCGCGGCGGCCAATGGCGGGCGGCAGGGGCGTGGCGCCGGCCCGCCTTCTTCGAAGCGCTCGGCTTTCCGAGAAATCACTTCGCGGCGGGCTCGGCCTCGTCGCGCGGGGTCCCGGCCCTTTCCGCGGCCGCGCCGAGCCCCTCTCCTCGCAGGCCGGGGGCGGCGCGGGAGGGGGCTTCCCGCCGGAATCCCCGAGCGGAGGCAGGCGGCCGGCCAAGGTCACGGGGCCCAGCGCGGAGGTCCGGCCGTCCCGGCCGTGGGCACCGCCACCCGCCAGGCTCGGCCGCACGGGGAGCCCTCCGCAGGCCGCCGGGCCCACGAGGGTCGCGCCGCCGAAGCGCCTCGGGCACCGCGATGCAGCCGGCGGCCCGCCCGGGAGCTTCCGGGGACCGCCGCCCCCGGGAGCCACGGGCTGGGCGAAGCGCAGGCCCCCGGCCTGGCCTCGGCGCCCAGCGCCCTGGGTGTGAGCTGGCATTTACTGTAAACGCGGGGTGGAGGGAGCAGCACCCAAGGACAGGGGAAAGGAGCGTTTTCCGTGTTCCCTTCTGGAACGGCTTTAAATGAGGGTCGTAATCGGCTTTTATGGCCAGTTGGCTAAACACCAGCAGCAACGTGTACAGGGTCATCTTGGGCATCTGGCTTCTCAGTGACCTGAAAAAAAAAAAAACAATGGCCCCACAGTATAAAAACTACACTGCGAATTTCAAATAAAGGTTCCCAAAACATAACATGCCAACCTCATAATTGTCACTTGTAGCTTGAATAACATTTCATTAGATTTGAAAACTTTTACTAAATGAGACATTGCTTGGTACGAATTTCCTAATGCCCTGATTCTCAGGAAGCCATACAAAGTAAATGAGTTCCCTGACACCAAATAAAACTTCAAATGAAAACTTTTCTAAACTCAAATTCTTGAAGACTATGTAGACGCCGGGAAACGTTTTACCATGCTTGCCACAGAAGGGAAGGAGCTTCCAGAGTCAGGCCCGAGGATCGGAAGTCCTTAAGCAGCCCCAGTGTGAGAGGACACCCAGCTCTCTTCACAGGCGTGCTCGGTAAGCCTTGGTGGGGTTTCTTTGTACAAATGCTGTCCCCGCACAAAGGGATGTGCTGCATTTCCATCAGCGCTGCGCGTGGCTAAAGGTGGGTGAAAGCTGAAGGAGTCAGCCTCGGTTCAGCATCTGGCTGGCAGCAGGTGTCACTGTAGACCCTGCAGGCCTCCAGACCTGCCAGGCATTCCCTGCAGTGGCACCTGCTGCCTAGGGACAACTCCCAATCTGCTCTTGTTTAATGGGCACTGAGGTAACTGCTGTGTGCTGGATATGGGGCAACAACAGATCCCAAGGGAATAGCATGTCTGAGGGCCCCCAGCAGCACCCCACCATCAGGCAGACTCCTCTGCGTCTCTGCGGCAGCCGTGGCCTCCTGCTCATCACAGTCCTGCTTATTCCATTCCCCAGCCTACGTGCTTCTGTCTTGCAGGTCTTCCCAGGAGCTGTCATACAGGAGCCATCCTGGCATCTAAGAATGTCCTCCCCAGTGTCACAGTCCAGCAAGAGCCCACAGCAGCCAGTCCTGCAAGCGGCAGGGTTCTAGCTGGATCCCAGCCTCCTGGCTCAGCTTGAGCTCCTCTGCATAACAGCACCGATGACAATGTTGGGTGCAACTGTGTGGAACTGCCCATACCCAGCTGTCCAGAAAGGGCACTATGTATGACAACCTAATTGTGCCTGTGTCTTAGGACTAGGAGACCATGTCCTTCCCCTGCCCGTGAGGGCAAGAGGGAAAAGTCTCACTCTGGCCAGTGTTGCGGCTGACAAGTCTGCAAAATATGGACTCGTGACTCTCACCTTCACCTTGGGCTGCTAGTTGCAGATCAGTACTTACTTGCCTCCGGGGGAGATGGGAAGGGCCCTCCCACCTGGTCTGCTCCCTGCCTGCCCCAGGGCTCCGGACCTCACTCCTCCCTCTCACTCTCAGGGCCTCACCTCCCGTGGGCTCCCTCTCTCACCCTGTCCACCCTCCTGGTCTCCTGTCTTCATCTCCCTCCCTCCCCCCATGTCTTGCTACTTCTGCTGGACTTTGGACCAACTGTCAATCTTTCTGTTCTGCCCAGTTTCTTCCAGTGGCAGTGGAGTCAATAGGGAGGTGACAAAGGGCACCTTCAACAGCCTCGGGAACAGGTCCCTCCAGGACCCTCCAACTCTTGTCAGAGCCAGGTATGGGCTGATTGTGTCCCCAGAGTGCATAATTTGCAGCCCTGCCCTCCACAGTGAGGGTGTTGGGGTGCCTTTGGGAGGCAGCTGGGTGTAGATGGGGGAGAACCCCTACAAGAAGCACAGGCTTGCTCTCACTCTCTTCAGCAAGGCCACCTGGCAAGGGCAGCCATCTGCAAGCCAGACAGCCCTCCAGATCCCAAGTGCTGGCACCCAGGTCTCTGATTCCCAGCCTCCAGAACTCGAGAATATAAGTGTTGGGGGGCTGGGGCTGGGGCTCAGCGGTAGCGCACTTGCCTGACATGTGTGACACATAAATAAAATAAAGGTCCATCAACAACCAAAAAGAAAAAATAATTTTAAAAAAATATGCATTGATTCTTCAGACCAGGCTGCTGAGCGCCAGGGGGACAGGGGAAGCAGCATGGCTCCTTCACAGCTGCCACCGGAGGACTCCTCACGCCTTCCTCTGCTCCCCTTGCTGCTTTTCCAATCCCAGAAGCAGGGTGCCTTACTGGAGAGGGGAGGGAGGGTGGCGGGATCCCATCCAGTCCCACCCGCAGCAGACTGCTCACATGGTGCCTGACAGGAAGTAGCAGCTCAGAGGACTCTGACTCTTCCTGCCTCCCCCCTCACAGGGGCCAACTCCACCTGGAGCCAAAGTGCATGAAATTTACACCTGCGGGCTTACAGAGGGAAAGGCAGGACTGTCCCTCAGCCACAGAAAGGGGGAGGGCAGGGGCCTGGTAAGGGTTGCTTGAGGGCTGTGCCCGTTGGAGTCCCACCTTCCTCACACCTTCCAAGCCTCTGATTAACTTGGGGCTTCAGGAGAGATCTGAACTTACTGTGCTTACTGAGAGCATTTCAACCCACCTGCCGCTGGGAGGGCGGGCGTTGACTCCTGCCTGGACGCGACGCCTACAGGGTACCTAGTGGCAAGTGCCCAAGAGGCAACCGCTAGAGCTCGCAGAGCAGGGTTGGCCACTCAAGAGCCAGTATGGGGTCCCATGAGGGCCTCCTGGGGGACAAAGGGACTGGTAGAGAGGCTGAAGGGTGTGTCCCCGGTGTCTAGGCTGAGGCACAGCACCTTGTGAAAGTAGATAAATCTGTTGGAATTAAGTCAAGAGAGAGGGACCCAGTAGGGACCTCAGAGGAGATCACAAAATGTCACCCCCTCCCAGCCTGTCCAGGGATGGCGGCTGTGCAAAGTCTTCTACTCACAGAGAGCACAAACCCAGAAGCCAGTAAGAACCGTCCCACCTCGGCACAGTGGTCACGCCCGTAATGCCAGAGGCTAAGGCAGGAGAATCGCAAGTTCAAAGCCAGCCTCAGCACTTTAGCGAGGTGAAGAGACCACTGTGACACTAAGCAATGTAGCAAGACCCTCCCTGTCTCAATTTTATTTTTTAAGGGATAGGGGTGTGGCTCAGTGACAAAGCACCCCTGGATTCAATTCCCTACGAAGAAAAAGAAAAAAAAAATGACTGTCCCACCACCTTGTCCCCTCATTTCTGCAGCACAGGAGTTACGTGTGACTCAGGAAACGTTTTCAATGAGTTCTGGCCATCACCGTCCTGTCTAGGAATCCAAAGGTCCTCTTTGTGCCCCAAATAGCATTGTTCATGGCTTTATTTATTTATTTATTTATTTTAGTTGTAGATGGACACTATACCTTTATTTTTTTAATGTGGTGCCGACAATCTAACTCAATGCTAGGCAAGCGCTCTGCCACTGAGCCACAACCCCAGCAGCCCCACCCCGGATTTTATATATATATATAATGTATCCTCTAAAGTTTTTTAAAATGTAAAGACCACTGCAGGAAAATGGCCTGTAGGGACATTCCAAACATTCCAGCCACCTGCCTTGTCCCGCTGTGCGCAGGAAAGCGGAAGTGGGTGGTCCTGGATGGAAATCACAGCCAATGAGAAGGTCACACCCAGCCTGTAGCTTGTACTTTCTGTTAAATCTGGATTTTAACCAGTCCCCTGCACACTCTTCCATACCTGGCTAGCAGGGATCTTGATCTGGGGTCCACGTCACCCCAGGCCAGCACCTTTAGTGGAAACTTGCTATCCCTGCAGGAGCTCTGCCTCTTCCCACGTGAATAAATCCTGCTGGGTTCACTCTTGCCTTCTGTCATTGTCCCTGGGTTTTATTCTTCAGATCTGGGAGACAAGAACCCAGAAAGAAAGTAGTGGAGCAGAGAATCTGGTTTCATCGCACACCCTGGTTTCAGTACTACTGATCTCATTTTCTGTGGCTACTGTAACAAATTGTCACGCGCTCTATGATTTAAGAACACACAGTTATCATCTCCCACTTCTGGAGGTCAGAGGTCCAGCAAGGCCTCCAAGGCCAAACTGAGGTGCAGCAGGGCCTCCAGGGAGGAGCTGCCCCTGCTCTGTTACCAGCTCCTTCCCAGCTGTCCTCCTCGGCTCCCTCCCGCCTCCCCCAGCTCAGAGCCAGCCTCTGGGCCCTCCACCTCTCCCCTGCCTCCCTCTGAGCACTCACAGCCCCCCTGGGCCATCTTAAGTCCAGCTGATCAGCAACCTCAGTTCCATTGGTGACCTCAAGTCCCCTTTGCCATTTGGTGTGGCGGTGTCCCAGGTTGAATGGATTCCGATTAGGGACCACTGGGGACTGTCGTGCTGCCCGCCACCATCCTTAAGACGTAACTGAGTCCTTCCTCCTTCCTGCTCCAGCCTTCTCAGGC